TGCGCTCCGGCCCGACGCCCGCGCCGCCCCAGGACAGCGGAGCGTACACACGGGCAGGCCTGGACCCCTGGCCCCTGCACCCGCCGCCGCCGCCGCCTACCTGAGGCCCTGCCCCGCCCGCGGCCGAGGCCACGCACCGCCAGGCGGGATGCAGCCGCTAACGGGTCCCCTCTGCCCCGGGCCTCACCCCCAGCGCATGCGCTCTACTGGCACCATAGAGTACGGCCCTCCCGAGCGCCTAGAAAGTGCTTCCGGTGGAAGGAAACACACCACCTTACTCTTTCCAAGTCTGGCAGGAAGACCTCCACTGCCATGCTTCCTTGCCCTCACTTAAGATGGCGATGGGGAGGGGCGACACTCCTCCCTGAGCTTGTGTTGTACTGCGCAGGCGCGCTCGACTGCCGTGTAGCCTGTTCTCGGGCTGAGGCGCGAAGGGCTCTGGTGTTCCCGGCTCTTGTGCAGCCCACGAGCCTCCGCCTAGCCCGCCGCTCCTCCCTCCGGATTGGGGCGTGCGGCAGGGGCGGTGCAACAACATAGCACAGCGCCGCGGCCAGGCACACAGCTACAGTGCATGGGGGTCAAGGCGGTGGCAGCCACACGAGAGCAGGGAGCTCGGGCAACCAGACCTGCAAGGGGGGGCACGCCCTATCGGGGGGAGAGTTCCCCATCATATGCTACCCCCAGCTGGCAGAAGAAGCTTCCGCTGAAGCAGAGGTGCTGGTCACCCCTGCCCTGCTCTGTGTGGGCAGCTGTGGAGGAGCAGGGCAAGCTGTGCTTCTTCTGGTTTGATGCCTTCCGTCTGGGCTGGAGCCTGTCTGACCCACTGCTGGGGACACCAGTGCAGCCACCCCTGCAAAAGGATAGCTGCAGTTCGGCAGCCCCTTAGTGAATGAGTGGTCCTAGCCTAGTGCTTACCAGGTTTGGGGCTAGTTGTACAGATGGAGACAGCAAAAATGAGTGAATTGGAGACCCTAGAAAGTGCCTGAAGATAGAAAGCAGCCCTGTGGGTGAGGGGAAAATGCACTAGTCAAGTGGAAAATGAACAAGGGGGTTTGGACCCCGTGAAGTGTGGAGGGGCCAGACCGGATGAGCAGGAGGGCACCTGCGCTCCAAGTGAATCAAGTCGGTACCTTTAGGCAAAGTAGTTGCATGAATTCTGCCAGATATGGACACTGACCTCCAGCACCACCTCTCTGCTGGGGGCAGAATGACTTTCCTTTGGACATAAAGTGCAATTTCACAGGAAGGCTAGAAAAAAGAGGTGGAAAAGCAAAGTGAGCTCCCTGAGCAGAAATGGAGTGAAATAAGTATGTTTTCATGTATATGGTGTCCTTGACTGGGATTCTGAAACATGCCTGTTAAATGAAGTAGCATGGTCTTTACATTCCTGCATGGGTGAGAAGAGGTAATTGTCTCCCAATACTGTGGGTAAAACCACCAGTCACAAGCAGAGAAAGAAAGTAATGCTTTGAACTTCATTTGAAATGACAAAATGAAGAAGGTCCTGCCTTCACATGCTTAACACTGAACTGCAGGAGGGCCAGCACCTTTAACTCCCTAGAGGTAAGTGTTGTGACAAGACACCAGGCAGACAGGTAGGCGGTTCCTGCAGTACCATTTGGAGTCTTTAAACAGTAGACATTGACCTGGATTAGAATATTAGATTCAAGCAAGACATGTTTGAGACTCACTATATCAGATCCAGGCTGAGGTTTTGAATCCCTATTTCCAGATCTGGGGGAGGACAGAAAATAACAATATGTCCTGTTATCTAGTTTCAGGCCCAACTCATGATTTTATCCATACAGTAAGCCTGACTCCCCTCAAAGGCATCCTGATTCTTCTCTGTAAAGTGTGATAGAAATGGGAGCACTAGTGAGGAAACAGTCTTTGTGTGTCAAGGCAGAGCCATTTTAGAAAGAGCAAACGGGTTTTGCTGAAGTCACTATACTTTGACATTAAGTTTCCTTTGAGGTAGCAACAGGTAGGAGGACTGAGGTACTGTTGGGCAAGAATGTCTGGTAAAAAAGCTGAGCTTTTGCATACTTATCCACAGGCACAAAGTCATCTGATGACTGCCCCCAAACAAAGTGTTTAAGCTTTTTTATTTGAAAATATGTATTTGCAACCAGTGTCCTTTGTATGTATTTTTGCTAATGTATCTGCTTTACTCTATGCTTTAATATGGATGTTATTCATACTGGAAGCCTGTTTTTTGGCCTTTTCCTATTTATCGTCACATATTACTGATGTTGGTTTCCCAGGACCTGTGTGTACTTTGTCTATACAAAGGATAACTTTCGGAAAGTCCCGGTACTGCTTTATAGCGTGCCGCTTTTGTGCATTTTATTGCTTATGGGGAAAAGGAGGGGACATAATTTACTACCTGCTCTTCCAAGCATATTAAGCTTAAAATTGGCATATTTTAGTTGCTCTAGGAGTGGAAGAAGAATTAAAGGAGAACACTTACTAGTGACTATATCAAAAATAATCTACGGAACTTGTAAAGGGTATTACATGTTTCATTCTAAAAACTGCACATCCCTATCATCTACTAAAGCCAAAGAATGTGTTGACTTTCCTTTTGTCCTTCTCTACGAATGTTAGACTTGGAAAATTTTATTACAGGCAAAACAAAAAATTTAATGTGCCCCCTAACTAAATTAAACAGCTAAATGTATGTAGAAGAAGAGGATGACATGGTTCCAAAACAATAGTCTCACACTCTTGAACAGCAGAGGGTAGTAGTGTGCTTGTACATGGTGAGAGGACAGAAGAAAATGCCCTGCAAGAAAGCTGGCTGCTTTACAGCAAACAAGGCCCTCAAACAGAATAGTTTAGAACGATGAATTTGACAGACAGGAAAGAACAACATACTCCTGAAAAAAAAGAAAGATGAAGAATCATGGGTTAAACATGGTTGCACTCAGTTTTTATTGTTTCTAATTTTTAAGATTTCTAATTTTTAAATGTAATTGTAGATATTTATTTCAACAGAATTGCTGCAGATGTATTCAGAAGTTATGTAGAGACACAAATGGATGGATTTATTAGGGGGAGAACAGCATGGATTTATTAGGGGGAGATCATGTCAGACCAACCTGATTGCCTTCTACGATCAGGTCACAAAGGCCATGGATGCAGGTGTCACGGTGGATGTAGTCTTTCTGGACTTCAGCAAGGCCTCTGACACCGTCTCTCACCCCATCCTAGTTAAAAAACTAGGTGACTGTGGCATCGATGCCTACACAGTCAGATGGATTGCAGATTGGCTGAGGGGTCGCACTCAGAGGGTGGTGGTGGATGGGTCATATTCGACCTGGGGCGAGGTGGGTAGCGGAGTCCCCCAGGGCTCAGTCCTGGGGCCTGCGCTGTTCAATTTCTTCATCAGCGATCTGGATGATGGGGTGGAAAGTAACCTGTTTAAATTCGCTGATGACACCAAAATTTGGGGGGAGGTGAGCACGCTAGCAGGGAGTGAGAGATTGCAGAGGGATCTGGATAGGTTACAGGGGTGGGCTAACAGGAACAGGATGCGTTTTAATACGGACAAGTGCAGGGTGCTGCACTTGGGCAGTAGGAACCAGCAGCACACTTACACAATGGGGAACTCCCTACTCGAGAGCACGGAGGCAGAAAGAGATCTTGGAGTCATTATTGACTCCAAGATGAACATGGGCCGACAATGCGAGGTCATGGTTGGCAGGGCTAACCGGACCTTGTCGTGCATCCACAGGTGCATCTCGAGTAGAGCCAAGGAGGTGATCCTCCCCCTCTACGCGACGCTGGTCAGGCCACAGCTGGAGTATTGTGTCCAGTTCTGTGCGCCCCATTTCAAGAGGGATGTGGACAACATGGAGAGGGTCCAGAGGAGGGCCACCCGCATGATCCGGGGACAACAGGGCAGACCCTACAGTGAGAGACTGCGGGACCTGAACCTATTCAGCCTCCACAAGAGAAGGCTGAGGGGGGACCTGGTGACCGTCTATAGACTCACTAGGGGGGACCAGAAGGGTTTGGGGGAGACGCTGTTTCCCCTAGCGCCCGCTGGCATAACAAGGAGTAATGGGCACAAGTTGATGGAGAGGAGGTATAGATTGGACATCCGCAAAAACTACTTCACAGTTAGGGCGGCTAGGAGCTGGAACCAACTTCCAAGGGAAGTGGTGCTGGCCCCTACCCTGGGGGTCTTTAAGAAGAGGCTGGATGCCTACCTGGCTGGACTCATTTGAGTCCCGTTTCTCTTTTTGGGGTTTTTTTGTTGTTCTCCCGCCCTGGCGGGGGGTCGGGCTAGAAGATCTACTAGGTCCCTTCCGACCCTTAATCTATGAATCTATGAAAATGAAAGTTTATGGTGGAAGTTACTAAATAGGTTTTTGAAAGATGGTTATGTAGGTTATGGTATGTAAGTTTAAAAGGATAAAAGGGCTTTTGCCCCAATGCAAGTAGTAATAAAGTGGCTGTGGATTCTTGACTTGAAAAACAAATTAAATTGAGCGCATGACTGATAAAACTTATTCTGAACCAAACTTTGAATCTAGTTGCTTTCTTAAAAGTACAAAGTACTGAAACTAGTGACCTATTCTGATCACTGCATTTATGAACCAATTAGGTTCCCCATCTGATAATTGTCCTGCATGGGGAGGAGATAATTCTGTTCAAATCTTCTCACTTTGCTGAAGCAAAGTATTAAATTCCAACTTTTTCTTAAGACGTGTTTAAAACTTCATAATGCTGTTTAGTTTTCTCATTGAAATGTTGAATATTATGTCCAAGCAATTTTAGCAAGTGTAATAATTGAACAATATGATTACAGTAGTACCTCTAAGTTTCCATGGCATTAACCAAGGATCATATAGCTTAGTAGACAGCATGCTTTATGTTTGATTCTTGAGTTAAATCTGATTGGTTTGCATTTTTATTTCAAAATTTATATTACCAGTATTTTACATGATTGTAGAGTTAAAAGAAATACTAAAATCGAAACCTTATTTAAGACATTTCACTGCTTGGCTTTGATGTGAATTAAGCCCTTCATAGATCTAGAGAAGAAGGTCTTCTGATTGTTTGCTCTTACCTTCTGCATAGGAGAGCTAATACAGTTTCATTCAAATCTTTGGTTAGAAGTTTCCTTTTTCACAGAAGTCTTCCTTTTTCACTTTGACTCTGTTTTTCACTTGGCTTTCTTTCCTCCTCGCTGTT